AACTGGTAAAGGATGTATAGGCAGACCCACATTCTAGATAAATATCCTTGTATAGAAGATCCACAAAAATGTTGTCAGAAGTATACCAACCTCCCCCTCTTCCCTCACTGATCACCATCAAATTCCTTCATAGGAGGACCTCACAGAATGTCAGGGGATTTCTAGGATATACTAAGATGTGGTTACCATACTCAATATGAATAATTTAGACAGGAAAGACAACTGTTCTCGAGGATTGAATTGACTTTTGTCTTTAAATCTGGACTATACCTTGCCTAAAATGGCACCAATTGACACTTAAGGACTTTTGAAGAGAAAACTCCACTATTTCTTTTCATTCCTGAGTACTCTGCTTCCATCGGAGACAGAAAATTGTCCATTTTCTTTTGACCAACCTTTTGTCTCGCTCTCTCTCAATGATTGCTCTCAAGTTATCTTCTTTTTCAAGTCCCAACTCCTTCCTGCTCAATTCTGCTTCTTTAGCCAATTCCTGAGCCCTCCTTTTCCTAGCATTAATCTTTTGCTTCGATTCTCTGACAAAGGCATTATAGGATGGGACCTCTCTAGCATAAATAGCTTGCTGAATAATGTTCCTTATCCTGATTCCTCTGTATACTGCACACATAGCACAGACTCCATGACCTAATCCATGTCCCCTTTGAAGTCCAGATAGGCCTATTTAATATCAGCCAGCTCTTCTTCAGAATCTCTTTGTCTTCGTGAAAGCTTGACTGTCTTATAGAGATATATTTTTAAAGAGTAACATCCAATATACCTTCCAGTCCTAATCTTGGTTGAGCACACAGCAGAAACCTCATCCACTCTCCCTGCTCATCATACACGGCTCTCTGCCACTCAGAATGCAATACTTTCCCAAGAATCTGGAAGTGGCAGCTGGCATCCTCCTTGTCGTGCTCATCCACCTGGTCTAGGTGCAATTGCAAGGACACCTTGTGGTGGCCGTGTGGGACCTTGCCTCACAGGGCACACCGGACACTGGGTAAAGGTAGGTGATAGTGAACACTTCCTTATACAGCTAGTTTAGCCAATCAATCACAGCTAGTTAGATGTGACTGGAGCTTTTCACTCTTCTTGAAACTTTTACAATTAATAATTAGAGACTACTTCTAAACTTTCAGAAAAAAATTCTTTTTTTACTTCTGGGTCAACACCATTCCTGATGTCTGATCTCCACATAAATTTCATTAGAGGACTAAAAGTAAAATATTAATTTCTTCCAAACCTCCATCCTCTCTGCTTAATTATAAACAATTATTATTATATTATCGATCTATTTCTGCTCTCATGATGTACCAACAAGCTATAAAAGCAAATTTTATTGTGTACTTACTATGTGTAATATTCTAGGATAAGTGTTTCATATGCATTATTTCATTTAATATAACAAATCTATGAGTTAGGTACTATTACACCATTTCCAGATGAGGAAAACAGTATGTAATGATGGAAAAACCAAGGATTCAAACTATATTCTTAACCACTACATGTAATTTCCATTATTATTACCTTATTACATCTGCCTCAAAAGAACATTATTTCTTATTCACCTATTTAGGAAATATTGGCAGGGGAAAGCCCCACCTCCACCCCTTTCTATTTCCACTACACCTTCCCTACTTTGCCACAGATTCCTTTTCCTTTAAATTCTTTGCCATAGGTTATCTCCTGGTAGACACCTATATATTCTGATTTCTCTATGTTCTATAAACTCTGAATTTCAACACATGATACTAACTCTGTTTCCTTGTGACCCAGAAAAGGAAGTCATTTTTTCCCCTGCAAAAGATTATTTGCTATAATTCACTAAATATAACTAAAGCACCTTCCTATATCTTTTCCTGATTATGCAAAATTCACAATCATGACAGGTTAATTTGGTTAATCTGGAACAGACTACAATCTGTTTTATAAATACTTTTCTCCTCAATTCAATTCAACATTTACTGAGCACTAACGTTAGGAAACACATGGAAAAGAAGGAAACCAGATGGCTATATAGTTTTTCTGCTAGTCACTCAAAATATAAACATTCCTACTATGTAAAAAAAATTTAACATCTGTGCTAGCGGGTTTGGCTCAGTGGATAGAGCGTTGGCCCAAGTACTGAAGGACCCTGGGTTCGATTCCAGTCAACAGCAGGTAACTCGGTTGCAGCAGGCTCCATCCCTGGCCCTGGTCAGGGCATGTGCCAGAGGGAGGCAACCAATCAATCGATGTTTCTCTCCCTCTCTGTCTTTCCCCATCCCTTCTACTGTCTCTAAAAATCAATGGAAAAATATCCTTGGGTGAGGATTAACAACAACAAAAAACCATATTTAACACCAACTAAGAAAAACATTAATACACTAATAAAAATGGGCAAAAGACATAAACAAGTATTATATGAGTAAAGAAATTATATGGGCACAAGAAATCATCAATCTCCTTGGTAATAAGAAATAATTATTAAAAAGATAAAATACAGCACAAAAAACCATTGATCTTCATAGTAATAAGAAATATTAAAAAGATAAAATACAATTTTTTATCTGTCAAACTGCTAAAGGTCAAATAAAATTACTATAATGCTAGTTCAAATACACGATAAGCACTGCACTATTTTTGTTAAAGAAGGTGAAAGTTAATATTTTAGTTTCTTGGCATAGATTTAAGGTCAAGCACCAATTTTGGTCCTAACCTACTTCTACAGCTTCATTTTCTACAGATCCACCACTTCCCCCAACAGTTATCCCTCTCAACTCACACAGTATTTTCATCAGAACACGGAATTCTTTTTTTATTGATTTCAAAGAGAGAAAGGGAGAGGGAAAGAGAGAAACATCAGTGAGAAGAGAGAATCATGGATATGCTTCCTCTTGCACATACACTATTAGGGATCAAGCCCACATCCTGGGCATGTGCCCTGATTGGGAATTGAACCGTGACCTCCTGGTTCATGGGTAGATGCTCAACCACTAAACAACACTGGCCAGGGTAGAACATGGAATTATTGAAAGCTAGTTGGGTTTTTTTGTGTGTGTGTCTTAATAATTTTATTGCGATCTAATTCACATACTGTACATTTACCCATTTATAAAGTGTACGATTCAACTGGTTTTAATGTATTTGCAGTTATGCAACCATCTTCACACTGAATTTTAGAGCACTGTCATCACCACAAAAAGAGCCTCGTACTCATTGTCAGTCTCCACTTACAACCCCCTCTCCAAGTCTCTAGCTAGGGCTCTTAAATTATGTGTGTCTATATTCAGCAGAAAATAGAAAGACTGGTCAGGTAAGGCCTTACTAATGAATAAAGCAACATTCATGTTGAGACCTATTGAATGAGAAGTTAGCCTTTTAAATCAGGTGCATGCATATTTGTGTAAATGTGTGGTATGTATGTGCTGGGAGTGCAGATGTTTAAGTCCAGGAAAGCAGCATGTTTAAGGTAGAGAAGTGCAATGGCATATGTAATAATTCAAAAGGCCAATGTAACTGAAGTTTGGTGAGCAATCAGAAAAATGGCAAAGATGGGATTGAAGAAATGGGCAGGCAGTGTGTCCCCACAGATCAAAGAAACAGGAGGTTCAGGGTATGATGGAGGAAAAGCAAATATTAATTTGATTATAGTACTAGGGTAATAAAAAACATTTCCACACAATCCTCAGATATAAAATTTTAATTAAATTTTCCTATCCAGTTAGAGAAGTAATGTTTCCCTTTAATGAATGAAGGGATAAACAGCTAATAAGGCTGCACTGCTAATAAGCTATGTCACAAATCCCAGACATACTAGCCTAAGTCAAACCAGTATCCTTTCAACTACACAATAAGAAGATGAGCTTTATTATGGCAAAAACTAATGGAAGTGACAGATTAAAAAGATAATTTTGATGATCTCCAGAGTCAAAAACTAATGGAAGTGACAGATTAAAAAGATAATTTTGATGATCTCCAGAGTGCATAAGAACACTCTCACCAGAATAAGACTGTGTGTGTGTGTGTGTGTGTGTGTGTGTGTGTGTATGTGAGAGAGAGAGAGAGAGAGAGAGAGAGAGAGAGAGAGAGAGAGAGAGAAAGAGAGAGAGAGAGAGAGAGAGAGAATAAGAATGAGAATATGTGTGGTTGAGGATAGAAGGAAGTTAAGACCATGTTCAATCAGAACATACCCACTTAAATCTGTTTTATACTAGAGTTAGGATTTTTTTTTAAATATATTTTTATTGATTTCAAGAAGAAGGGAGAGGGGGAGAGAGAGATGGAAACATCAATGGTGAGAGAGAATCATTGATCAGCTGCCTCCTGCACGCCCCCTACTGGGGATTGAGCCCCCAACCCATGCATGTGCCCTTGACCAGAATCGAACCTGGGACCCTTCAGTCTCCAAGCCAATGCTCTATCCACTGAGCCAAACCAGCGAGGGCTGCTAGTTTGTTTGAAAAAAAATTCTGCTCTTCAAAAACCATAGATTATAAAGGAGGTAGCACTGGCTCCAAAATCTTACTCTGAAGATCTAAAACCTACTGGCCAGTAGAGCTTTTCTTTCACCCATCATGTTCCCTAATAGTATACACTAATTTCTTTTCAACTTTTCTGCTAAAAGCCAACCATGTACCAGGTACAGTTTATTCAATGCAATTTCAGGTAAGATTTTTGACTCCACACTTTTAGAATTAATATATAAGTCTACCATAAATTTCCTCGTATGTTAAGACATTATAACATTAAAAATGTAAGGTATAAATATTCTAAGACAACTATAAATTATTTCTCAATCACACTGATGCTCAAAAACCAAATACTACTAGTGAATATTTTATGTGTAATACTGGTAAATGTGCTTTGATGTCTACTTGGGTGACTCAAAAACCACTAAAGTAAATAAATTAACTCTTCAATTCAACTACATTTACTTAAGCGGTCAACACCTATAACAAAATCTGCAAGATAGCTTAATCATGAATACACAGAATGGTTCATTAAATATGCACACATACCTTTATCCTTCTTAAAATCCAAAGCATCTTCTTTATCAGTAACTATCTCCTTCATATTGATAATACTCTGATGAGTAAGCTGCCGAAGAATTTTAATTTCTCGAATTGCTGTAATCGGAAAGCCTTCCTTTTCATTATCGAGACGTACTTTTTTTAAGGCAACCATTTCTCCTATTAGAAAATTAAATAAAATCAAGTTACTAGCTAACAAAAACCACAGGACATTTTTCTTAATTTTAAATTTATTTTAATTCATAATATTTGTTCCTACCTCTTCAAGTTACAATCCAAAATATATATTTAGTTTCCAACATACCACATTATAATGTTGAGAGTTTAAGAAATTAGATCTCTGGCTAAATAACCTAAGAGATATTTATCCAAGCTGTGGAATACCATACAACTGTATAAAGATATAGGGTAGGTGCATATGTATTGTTATTTTATGTTCTCCAAGATAAATGAAAAAAGAATGATGAGAAAGAGTGGATAAATTACACTGCCATTTTTGAAAAGTAAAGAAGGAGAAGATAAATATATACAATAAGCTTATCCTATATAATAAAAGCATAGTATGCAAATTGTCCCCTCAACCGGGAGTTTGTCCGGGAGTTTAATGAGGTGGCGGGGCCAGCCAGGGGAAGGGAGGGACGCCCTGGCCAGCTGTGGCGGGCGGCTGGGGGAAGGGAGGGAGTACCTGGCCAGCAGCCGCTAGGGACCCTACCAGTGTACGAATTTCGTGCACTGGGCCTCTAGTATATGCATAAAATCCCTCTGAACAGAAGAGAAAATTCTGTAGATTGCACAGGTGAGAAATGCTAAGACATATTAACTTGCCTAAAGTTGGCCAATTATCCAGTAGTGAAAGTGGGATTCAAAATCTGGTTTAGCTGTCTCAAAATCTGCTCTTCCCACTGCTCTAATAGCCTAATAATTTACACATATTTGTGTCAGATAAACCCTAAATAATAAGTAAAATACACACATGCATATATACAAATTCTATTATAAGAATATATTCATCACTATAATAAAGGTTTGTTCATTCTACTTTGGAGAAAAAAGAATTCTGTATTTACAAATTTTTTAAAAGAAAAATGTTTTTACCTTTAGTAATTAAAATGTATTTGACTCTTTTAAAGGGAATTCTAAAATGTGGGACTTCTTGTTTTACTAAACAGGTTTAAAGGTTATAATTTAATCTGTTTTTGATAAAGCAGAATCATCATTATCAATATTATTACTCCACGCCGTAAATGCCTTCAGGAGGTTCTAAGCATAAGGTAGTCCTCCCCGTATTAAATGGCCTGAATAGCTATGCTATTTTAATCTATTGGTTATTTCAACAAGGAATTATAAGATTATACTCTGGCTCAGAGCATTACTTTGTAAAATATACAGCCTCTGACAGTTACATTTTCCTCTTCTGCAAGGCCTTTTAAAACTTTCTCTCAGGTTCCTGATTATGTTCTGAAAGATTCAGCTGCTAAATCTGGCCTCCAAATAAAGGGTAATTTCTACAGAAGAAAAAAAAAAAAGATTTTGGCCAAAATAAGTGTTGTATAAGGCTTACTACAACAAGATTTATTACTAAGTCTAATAACATCAATATACTTTTTTTCCTCTGATTACTGACAACGTTAAGAATTTATTCACCATAAAAAAAGAAACCTAAATCCCAGCATACTACATATTACAAATACTAAACACTTTTAGAATATAAATATGCACACCCACTTACATGTACTCAATTATTACTTAAGTGCATATATAAAATAACAAGATGAAACAAAAACATAATAAAAATTTAACTGTTTTCCTGAAAATTGCTGAAGTTAGTTATTCATTAGAAAAGAAACACAAATACAGTCCATAGTCCTAAAGATCCACACATTTGGCATTCTTACCAGTGTCTTTATCCCTGGCCTTGTAAACTTGTCCATAGGTTCCTTCTCCAATAATTCCGATGATATCAAACTTATCCACGCATCGTTTTCCCCAGTCAATATCTTTTTCTTTGATTTCACCATAGCGAGGCCCACATATTCTATCAAATACAGTTCTGAAGTTTTTATATACAATCAAGCAAACTGAATAAATTGTTAAATACTCAATCTCCTCCCATCACCTAATCCTACATCCTTTATTTCCCCATACCCTTCCACATTTGAATGCAAGTAACTCCGGGATTTGGTACTATAAAATATCATGAAAGTCAAGGTATCAATCTCCACACTGACTCTTCTTTTGTACAATAGCACTTAAAACTGTGGAAGAAAAGATGTAAAGCTGATATGAAGGACTTTCAGAAATAAAACCTCATTTGCAGTGAGTGGAAAAAACCAACATTGGTATAAAGAGCCAAAGTTAAGTTCTCTAACCAACCTCCAGAAAGTTTTCTTTTTCATTCATTGACTATATATATCTGCTTTCAAAACACAGAATTTTGATAATGAGCGTTACCAAAAATCTAACTATAAGGCTCACTGACAAATTTAGACTTATGGTAGATAAAATTATCTTGAAAATGGAAACACCAGAAAGACTTTAGTCTGACAGTACACAAGTATTAATAAAATCAACACTCAGGAATCCACACTTTAAGTGTGTGTGCATGTATGTGTGTGTTATACATATGATATTTGACATTCTTTAAAAAAATGTAGTTTTGTAGTATTTTAATATTCTGTAGTAACAGAAATTCATATAATAGAATAAAGCTATTAATACTCAAAGAAAGACTATTTTTAAAAGTTTTCTAGCTTTCTGCTCCATACTAGAAAAATCATCTTATATTCTTACAATAAGTGCCACCTGAACAGCAATGCTTACAACGGATGTAACTCTAACACATTCGATTGGTTAAGTTAAAAAAAAAAAAAAAAGAAATCAACATTCTTCCTGCTTGACTGATGCAGCCAAGGAAAGACCAGCAGCTTGCCCATTACTAATTTTGTTTGGGATTACTTAATGCTGACTACCACCTGTCCAATTTCAGTGTTTCTGTTATAAAAATATCTTCATTATAAAAGTTATCTTTAACACATACAATAACCCCCAAAATCAATACATTACAAACTGTGAGAGAAAGTTAAATTTAATTTTATTAGTCATTTTGAATAGGTATGCAGGCAACTAAGAAATTTTTTTCAAAACTCTAATAAGAGTTTATTCAGATATTTAAGTCGAACAAATAAATACACTTTTTATTATTTTAAATCTTAATTTTGTGTTTTATAAGGATCCAGAATCACCTCTGGTCAATTTAAGAGCAGGTAGAAAGCAAGCACATACTTAGGCCTCCTTTTATTATGTAACTGTGTTGCTGTTTTCTTTTCCTCTGGACTCTTTGAGAGATCATCTCCTCCTGGTAGCTCAGGGGGCAGTGGTAAATCAGCAAGTAGACATCGTAATTTCTTTTCTACTTCTTTTTTAACTGCTTTTACTGAAATATTTCCTCGTAAGCTAAAAAACAAAGGAGTCAGACAAAAATAAACAAAAAACGCAAACCAATAAAACTTTATTTTACTGAAAAATAAAAATGCAGCCATGTCTTATATTTAAGTAGCATACAATGGCAAAATACTGAACTATGTTTCTTATTTTCCAGATAAAATATTATACTATATTCAAATGCAAATTTAAAATTAGGTGGTAAAAAACTATGTATAATTTCATAACTAAGGAAATTTGAACAAAGTATGGATTATCAATATTGGCTCATTAATTTTAACCAATGTACCATACTAATGTTGTTTATACTGAGGAAACTGTGTGCAGGGTATATGGCGGACTCTTATTTTTCTGTAAAAATCTGTGTATTTTTAAAAATAATATATAATTACCATAAGGCTGTATTAGAACAAAAAGTAAACTGTTTTACAAGAAAATTAATTTTATAATAGCATTTGGTTTTATTCCAGTGAAGAAACAAAAGTTGTTTTGTTGCCGAAACCGGTTTGGCTCAGTGGATAGAGCGTCGGCCTGTGGACTGAGGGGCCCCGGGTTCGATTCCGGTCAAGGGCATGTACCTGGGTTGCGGGCACATCCCCAGTAGGAGATGTGCTGGAGGCGGCTGATCGATGTTTCTCTCTCATCGATGTTTCTAACTCTCTGTCTCTCTCCCTTCCTCTCTGTAAAAAATCAATAAAATATATTTAAAAAAAAAAAAAAAAAGTTGTTTTGTTGTAAGAAATAATAAAACTACAAGCTATTATTCATCTTGCCCATTTAAATAACCACAAACAACTAATTTAGCTTCATCCCTTTTCAGGTTAATTTTTCTAAAATCAAACATTGATTCTTTTAAAACTTTTTTAAGGCTCTAGCTTACTAGAATTGCTGGTGAAAATTTTAGCTTAGTTATTAGTTTAGTACTTTTTATGAATGGATAAAGAGCTCTGATTTTTAAAGTACTATATCTACCTTGGTAACTCATTATTTTAAACCTCTCAGATATTACAAAATCTTTTATCTAATAATATGACATGTTGAAAGAGAATCTTAAATTGATAATAAAATGTGGACTTAATATACTTTCATAGCAGGTATGAGTCCCATAATAAGAAAGTTTAGTGAAACTACACTGCTGTAGTCAGAAGTTACTAAGAAGTTATCAAAATATATGATTTAATTTCTTACAATAAAACTCTTACTAATTTTCAAAATTAATATTATTGTATAAAAAAAATTGATCCTTTTCTTCATAATCCTGTTACTCACCAGAAGGTTCTTTAACAGAAAAAAACATGCTCAAAAGAAGGTTTGTAGTTTTAATGGTATCAGAGCCTACTCTTCAATTTTACTGTCTCCTATTACAGATTGTATACCTCTATGTGCTGGGTATTACAAAAGGCACTGGAGATTTAACAACAGAAATAATAACAATTAAGACACAGTTCCTCAGAAATAATAACAATTAAGACACAGTTCCTCTCAGAAAAGAGCTTACAGTTTTTTTAGAAGACAGTCAGGTAAGCAACAGGATAAATACTACACAAATGGATTCCCAGAGTAATATGATATCTAACGGGCATTTTATTCAGGATTGAAAGACAATAAAAGCTTCTTTCTAGAAAAGGTACAATTTGTACTCTGTCTGAAAATACTCTTATTAAAATAATTTATTTAGAAGACTAAGTTGCTAACTTGTAATTAGGTTTTAGTCAAAAATTCTCATTTATCTGAGGATTCAAATCAACTTTTTGGGGGGGAAAAATAAACTAAAAGTCTTAACTTTACTTATAACTTAAAATTTAAAAGACCGCCTATATTCCAATATGTCATTATATGAACTATTAAGTTCAGCAAGATTCACAGATTTAAGAGAAATGAAATACTGTTTTTCAAGAACATTACATAATTAAAAAACATTGTATTTTCACTGAATATCTGCAATAACCTATTTGAAAATGTGATTTTTTAAAAGTTTCCATATACTACAGCATTAAAAATAATAAAAAGCATTAATAAGAAATGTACAAGACTAAGAGAAGAAAATTGAAACATCTGACTGATGAAAATAAATTTGACTGAAAAGAAACCATGTTTTTGTATGGAAACTATAATACCGTTAGTCTCCAAATTAACCTATTATATTTTTTCAAAATATATATTTTATTGATTTTTTACAGAAAGGAAGGGAGAGGGATAGAGAGTTAGAAACATTGATGAGAGAGAAACATCAATCAGCTGCCTCCTGTACACCTCCTATTGGGGATGTGCCTGCAAACAAGGTACACGCTCTTGACCGGAATCAAACCTGGGACCCCTCAATCCTCAGGCTGACGCTTTATCCACTGAGCCAAACCGGCTAGGGCTTAACCTATTACATTTAATAGAGTCCCAAACAAAACCCAAGGAATAGTCTTTTTTAAAAATATGGTTTTTTATTGATTTCAGAGAGGAAGGGAGAGGGAAAAAGAGAAACATCAATGATGAGAATCATTGATCGGCTGCCTCCTGTATGCCTCCTACTGGGGATCGAGCCAGAAACCTGGGCATGCATCTTGCCCAAAATCAAATAATAACCTCCTGGTTCATAGGTTGGCGCTCATCCACTGAGCCACACCAGCCAGGCAGGAATAGTCTTTTAAATAAAACTTGACAAGCTGACTGAATAGAAAATTTGTCTAAGAATAAAAGCAAAAAACTACCAAGAAATTTCTGAAAAAGAATAATAAAGTGAAATTTGCCCTGTGAGTCACCTATCCAAAAAAATCTCAAACCAAAAGCCAAAGGCTTGGATGATGTCAAAGAATATGTATTACTTTCTTTTTTTTTCTTTTTTTTTTATTGATTTTTTACAGAGAGGAAGGGAGAGAGATAGATAGTTAGAAACATCGATGGGAGAGAAACATCGATCAGCTGCCTCCTGCACATCTCCCACTGGGGATGTGCCCGCAACCCAGGTACATGCCCTTGACCGGAATCGAACCTGGGACCTTTCAGTCCGCAGGCCGACGCTCTATCCACTGAGCCAAACCGGTTTCGGCTGTATTACTTTCTATACAATGTTTTGTAAAAGACTATCAACTATCAATACTTTTAAATCAGAAGATTTACATAAACATTCAGATTCCAGACTTCTTAAAAAACAAACAAAAACATTCTAACAACAATGGACCTAAATTCAGGTACAGCATCACTGAAGCTAAAGATGAATAGCAGGGCTGTTCATTAATCAGTAATTGATTCCATCTCTCCACGTTCACATTATCCCTACCCGCATAATAGAAATTTGAGTTTGAGAGCCAATATGCCATGAAAAGATACTGGTAAAGAAATAATAAAATATGATAATAAAAGAGAGTCCGGAAACACAGATAGCTATAAGAATTTTTATATATGGCACCACAAATCAGTGAAATTGAGCATTCAATAAATGATGTTACTAATTGGATTTATTAGTCCACAGGGTGATAGTGGGGAGACGTATCTTCCCTCTTCATTTAAAAACTAAAGACAAATATTTGTAAGATGTAAGTTAACCTTTTTATATACTCAGAAGTTTTAAAAGAAAAAGAACAGATTTCACTACAATTTTTAAAATGGAAAACACCAATGTAGCCAAGAACGAAACAAATAAATCTCAAAGGCAATCAAACAGACTGAGGCAAAGGTCAAGATCCCTAACATAAGGAGTATCTACAAATCAATCAGAAAAAGGAAAACAATCTTGAGAAGCCAGCATAAGATATAAGCAAGCAATTCACTGGAAAAAAATAAATAGCCAATAAATATTCAAAAAGATGCTATGTCTCAATAATCAGCAAAATGCAAAATTAATCATTACATATTTTAAAGATTATCAAAAATTCAAAAATGGCAATGCTGTTTAAGAAATTTCATACATGTGGGTGCATAAATTGGTACATAGTTTTATTGAAATACAATTTGGCAGTTTCTATCAATTCTTAAATGTTCATAATCTGATCTTCCAACTCCCCTAAAAATAACTCACATGTACATGAAATATTAATATAAGGTGAGTTTAATAGCAAACAAATATGAATCTAAGTATCCATTAGTCAACAGCAGAATAGTTAATGAGAGCATGATGCATCCATTCCTATAAGTAGGAATACTGAACCTAACCTAAAAGACTCACTAGGAAACAAGGAAGACTCACTCAAACACCAATGGCTGCCCTAGCTAGCCGGTTTGGGTCAGTGGATAGAGCATCAGCCTGCGCCCAAAGGGTCCCGGGTTAGATTCTGGGCATATGTACTCAGGTTGCAGGCTTTTCCTCCTTCCCCGTCAAGGGCCCTGGTCGGGGGGTGTGCAGGAGGCAGCCAATTGCTGTATTTCTCTCATCTCAATGAAGTTTCTCTTTGTCTTTCCCTCTCTCTTCCACTCCCTCTAAAAATTAATGGAAAAATATCCTCGTGTGAGAATTAACTAAAACAAAACAAACAGCAACAACAAAATGGGATCAAGTTAAAAGGACAAAGGAGTCAGCTTTAAAAAGTCCCCACAGGCCAAATTTCCGACACTTGGAGCATCAAAAGGAAGAGTGACTATAACTGGTCTTGAATCAACCTCTGACCACACACATTAGTAGAACTCAGGGTCTTAAGAAACATCTTTGCCCTGGCTGCTGAGGCTCAGTTGGTTGGAGCATTGTCCCAGGTTGAGAGTTCAATCCCTGGTCAGGGTGCATGGAGGAGGCAATTGATCGATGTTTCTCTCTCATATTGATGTTTCTTTCTCTCTCATTCTCCCCCTAAAATCAATGAAAACATATCCTCGGGTGACGAATAAAAAAAAAACAGAAGAAACTTATATATCCACGAAACATACAAACACATTCAAAGAAATAAAAGCAGAGACACAACAAATAGAAAAAAAGAAAAGACAGATCAAAAGAAATTTTTTAATGACCAACTATGAAATGTGTCACCATCTCATTAAAAATAGATGCACAGAGCTCTTTTCCTCCCTGGCTGCTTAAAGATCAACCTCCATCAGGAATGACACAGTAACTATCAGGACCAGGAAGTTCATGAGCAACAGACTACTTCAGCGGAAGCAAATTGTCATTGATGTCCTTCACCCTGGGAAGGCAACAGTACCCAAGACAGAAATTCGGGAAAAATTAGCCAAAATGTGTAAGACCACACCTGATGTCATCTTTGTGTTTGGATTCAGAACTCACTTTGGTGATGGCAAGTCCACTGGCTTTGGCATGATTTATGATTCCTTGGATTACGCAAAGAAAAATGAACCCAAACACAGACTTGGCAAGACATGGCCTATATAAGACGACGACCACAAAAACACAGAGAAAGGAACGCAAGAACAGAATGAAGAAAGTCAGGGGCACTGCAAAGGCCAACATTGGTGCTGGCAAAAGGTGAGCTGGAGATTGAACTACAGAAGGAGTAAAGATTCTTCGGTGACTTTATCTGTGATATCTGTGCAGATTTTTCATGAGAGGATTAATAAACTATAAACCTAAAAAAAACACACACACACACAAAAAAACAGATGCACAGAGAATATCCTCCTTGAGCATTCACATGGGTATGTCCTGAGTTCTTGAAAATACCACCAGTAAAAATTTATCCCTAAAGCATGTATGAAAAATAAAGTAGAGACAAGTCTCACTGGTCCATAATCACTGAATTCTCAGGTACCAATAAGTGACTCAAATCTGCACTCAGTTGTGCTGAAAAGCCCATTTCAGCACTTATGAAAATTCCAAATCACTACTATGAACCTTCAATACTCCTAGATAACAGTCAAACCTGGAATTACCACAATTATAGTAGTATAATGGAATAACACCAAATTAAATTGAAAGGGGTATCTTGGTAACATTTTTTTACTGTAGGATAAAAGGGCCTCAGAAGGCATGACACAGGAAATTTTTTTTTTAAGTTATAAAATTTTCATAATGCTAATCAAAGTGAGCACTTGAAAGAACTGCCCACGTGGTGTTTTTATCTGCTTGTTTTGGCAGAATTCTTTCAGTTAGGAAAATTGTCCATAAAGTTGCTTCTCAATAGAAAGAAGGAAAACAGCTCTAATTTCTTCATAAAAATTGAAAAAATTAAGTGGCATAATAGGCAGATATAACACAATAGCATAATGCATCTATCCTAGCATACATTTAAGAAATTTACACATATTCTTACCTTCATCCTCTTAAAAATAAAATGTTTCAAAATAAAAAGCAAGCCACATCCCCAATATTCATAATAGAAATCTGTAAATATATTAAAGGAAAGCATAACCACATTATGGGTTTTCTGTAATATATAATCAATCCCTAATTGCAAAAAAGTTAAAGTCAAGAAAGACTAAAGGGATAAATTCATAAATCCACCCAAACTGGTAAATTTAAAAGGCCACTAAAGAAACTTAAAAAACCAAGACACATGCATTATATTACCCAGTACAGACTCCCTCATAAAATGTCCTGTCTCTCAGCTCTAACAGGTTTGGCTCAGTGGATAGAGCGTCGGTCAATGGACTGAAGGGTCCCAGGTTCGATTCCGGTCAAGGGCATGTACCTTGGCTGCGGGCACATCCCCAGTAGGGGGTGTGCAGGAGGCAGCTGATCGATGTTTCTCTCTCATCAATGTTACTAACTCTCTATCCCTCTCCCTTCCTCTCTGTAAAAAAAAAATCAATAAAATATATATATATATATATTTTTTTTTTAATGTCCTGTCTCTGATACTATCATCAAGGAATATTAAATCAAAGTATATACCGGCAGTTCTAATTCTCAAACTCAAACTGATATATACATTGTATTCCAAGACATTGGCAAATTTTTCCAGGGAATTCTTAGCATAAGCTATAATTATGCTAAGAATTATACAATGTGCTTCATTTTAAGACATATATCAGAAAATTAATCCACATAACATTTTTTGTAAAGTTTTTTGGGGGGGAAAAAGTCAAATAATTTCTCACTTCAAATTTACATATTTTTTTCTTCAAATAGTTATTGACCTGCCCTAGCCAGTTTAGCTCAGTGAATAGAGCATTGGCCCATGGACTGAAGGGTCCTGGGTTCGATTCCAGTCAAAGGCACATACACTGGCCCTGGTCAGGGTGCATGCAGAAGACAACCAATCAATGTGTCTCTCACATCAACATTTCTCTCAGTCTCTCCCTCTCTCTAAAAATCAATGGAAAAATATCCTCAAGTAAGGATTAACAAAAAAAATAAAATAATAAACAGTTATTGACCAAATTTTCTGCACTTACCTATCAGCATCTTTATCTTCAGGCAGCATGGGAGGCAAAGGTAATGGTGGTAATGTAGAGGTCACTAGAGCCACATGTTGTTCCTTCTCCTTGGCTCCTGTGCTTGGTGTAAGTGGTTTGGTTTTCTCTTTAAGAGATACTGGTTCCTCCTTTGTAGCAGCAGATTTACTCTCCTTCCCAACTGCTTTCTTGGCGGTTTTATCTACAATCAAATTATTGTCCACCTTTGTTACCTGGGTAAGTGGCTTTGTTTTTGCCTTGTCATTTTTTAAAGTTCCACCACTTGAGGGAGAAGGTGCAGGCTCAATCTTAAGTTTCTTCACATCCTTCACATGGTTTGCTTGTGATGCGCTGGCACCAGTTTCCGTGTTCCCCTTGGTAGGAGTAGAAGTGTTTGAGGCTTTGGCAGCTTTGGCAGCGGCCTCAGCAGCCTTGGCTGCCTCTGCAGCTTTCGCTGCCTCTGCAGCTCTTGCTGCCTCTGCAGCTCGTGCTTTTTTATTCTTGTTCAATTCAGCTGCCAGGCTACTCTTCAGAGTTAGTGTGCTAGGAGAAATGCTAGAATGACGACTTCTGGATCTAGACAGTCTGTGCCTACTACGAGATCTTGAATGCCTAGATGAATATGGGCTTCTGCTTCGGGATTTGGCAGACCGTCTGGTGGAAAATAATTAAGATTTAGTTAGTAATTCAGAAAAGTTCAGTTGAAATTTATAAAAACTGCTAACTCCAGCCTGTGAAATGAAAGATTTATTTAATTTCAAAATCATAATATAGTTTTTGTGGGAGGATTTTTAAAAAACAAAAAATGCTTTTAAGTAGAATATTGTCTGGTGATCTGTTGGCTATAGTTTTACTGAAACTAGAGGGAATGTCTGAGTATATTGACCTAGCCTACAAAAGCTCAAAGGTGAGGTTGGATGAAAACAGATTCTGAGAGAAGAAATACTGTTAAGAATTAGGAGGAAGTCCATCAGGTGCGGCTCAGTGGATGAGCACTGACGCATGAACCAGGAGGTCATGGTTCGATTACCAGGGCTGTGAGCTCGATCCCCAATGGGGGGGGGAGGGGGGGGGCAGTAAGAAGGCAACTGATCAAATGATTCTCTCTCATCATTGATGTTTCTATCTCTCTCGCTCCCCCATCCTCTCTGAAATCAATAAAAACATTAAAAACAAAACAGAAAACAGAAGAAAACAGAAGCAGGTGACAAGGATACCAGGGATAGCAGTAGCAGGGTGACTGATCTTTTACCAGGGAGATGATCTCTACATCTCAAAAGCATCTTCACCCATTAAGTTCAGAAGTAGGTCTGTCTACAAGAGTGAAAAAGACAACACCTGTCATTAGGCAATAAGTAAAAGTCTCTAAATCTTGGGAACTACTTAATGACTGTGCAATTCACGTCTCAGAAATTATTGGAGGCCTGGCCGGTTTGGCTCAAAGGTTGAGCATCGACCTATGAACCAGGAGGTCAAGGTTCAATTTCCTGTCAGGGCACATACCCAGGTTGCGGGCTCAATCCCCAATGTGGGGCGTGCAGGAGGCAGCCAATCAATGATTCTCTCTCATCACTGACGTTTCTATCTCTCTCCCTTACTCTCTCTGAAATCAATAATAAAGATACACACACACACACACACACACTCACACTAGAGGCCCAGTGCACGAAATTCGTGCACTGTGGGGGGGGGGGGTGTCCCCCTCAGCTCGGCCTGTGCCTTCTCGCAGTCTGGGAGCCCTTGGAGTATTCCGACTGATGGCAGTTGGACATCCTTAGCAGTGCTGCGGAGGTGGGAGAGGCTCCTGCCACTGCTGCTGCACTCCCCAGCCATCAGCCCGGCTTCTGGCTGAGTAGTGCTCCCCCCCCCACCCCCCCCCCGTAGGAGCGCACTGACTACCAGGGAGTAGCTCCTGCATTGAGCATCTGCCCCCTGGTGGTCAGTGCGCATCATAGCAACTGGTTGTTACATCGTCTGGCTGAAACCGGCTCTTTGACATCCCCCAAGGGGTTAGGAATTTCTAGAGTGCACAGGCCAGGCTGAGGGACCCCACTGGTGCATGATCGGGGTCGGGGAGGGATGTGGGAGGTTGGCCAGCCAGAGAGGGACTACAGTAGGGTTCCAGAGTATGTCCAGCACATATCACTCAGTCCTGATCAGCCGGACCCCAGCAGCAAGGTAACCTACTGGTCGGAGCATCTGCCCCCTGGTGGTCAGTGCACATCATAGCGACTGGTTGACTGATCGACTGCCGCCTGTTGGTCAGTGCACGTCATAGCAAGCAGTTGAGAGGCCTTAGCATATCATTAGCATATTACGCTTTGATTGGTTGAACAGCCGACTGGATGACCAGACACTTAGCATATTAGGCTTTTATTATATAGGAGAATATATATATATATATATATATATATATATATACACACACACACACACAAAGGACCTGAATAGATAATTCTCCAAAGAAGATATACTGATGGCCAACAGACATATGAAAAAATACTAAATATCACTAATCATCAAAGAGATGCAAATTAAAACTACAATAAGATATTACCTCACACCTGCCAGATGGCTATCATCAATAAATCAACAAACGTGCTGGCTAGAATGTAGACAAAAGGAAACCATCATGCACTGTTAGTGGGAATGCAAACTGGTGCAGCCACTGTGGAAAACAATATGTCATTTCCTCAAAAAAAATTAAAAATGGAAGTGCCTTTTGACCTGGTGATCCCACTTCTGTGAATATATCCTAAGAATCCCAAAACACTAATGTGAAAGAATATATGCACTCCTATGTTTGCTGCAGCATTATTTACAACAGCCAAGATCTGGAAACAGCCCAAGTGCCCATCAGTAGATAAGTGGATGAAAAAGCTGTGGTATAATTATACAATGAAATACTATTCAACCATGAAAAAGAATAAACTCTTATGCTTTGTGACAGTATGGAGAGCATTACGCTAAATGAAATAAGCCAGTCAGAGAAAGATAAATACCATATGATCTCACTTATATGTGCAATCTAATGAACAAAATAGAAACAGAGGTATAAATACTTGGAACAGACTGACAGCTGACAGAGGGGTGGGGCATGTGGGGACTGACTGAAAGAAGATGAAGGGATTAGCCAAAAATCATATATACAGCCTGGCTGGTGTGGCTCAATGGTTGAGTGTTGACCTATGAACCAGGAGGTCACGGTCTGATTCCCAGTCAGGGCACATACCAGGGTTGCAGGCTTGGTCCCCACAGTGCAGGAGGGCAGCTGATCGATTGTTCTCTCTCATCATTAATGTTTCTTTCTCTCTCTCCCCCTCCCACTCTCTCCCTCCCTCCTTCCCTCTCTAAAATCAACAAAAATATATTTTTAAAAAAACATAGATACATAACACATAGACAAGACAGCAGTGTGGTAGCCAGAGGGAAAGGGGGTGGAGGCTAGGTGGAAGTGGACAAAGTGGGGGGGAATGGGGACCAAAAGAGACTTCGCCTGGTGCGATGGGCACACAATACAGTGCGCAGATAATGTTTTATTGAGTTGTACACTTGAAACCTGTACGGTTTTGCGAACCGGTCACCCCAATAAATTTAATTAAAAAGAAAGAAAAAAAAAAGACCCTGTGATTACATAGTACCCATCCAGGATCATCTCTCCATCACAAGTTCCCTATTTTAATCACATCTTTAAAAGTCCCTTTTGCCATGTAGGATGACATTCACAGGTTCACAGGAATATCTTTGGGGAGGGGTGTGGCATTATTCAGACTACACACCCTCATCTTCAATTCTCCAGGGTACTGTTCTATTTCAGACCTCATTACCTCCCCTGTAGGCTTCCTTCCTTAACTTATTAAAAATAACTGATCTTTTCACATATCTAATCTCTCCCTGCTCCAATTATTTCTATAGACATGATAACCAAAGTAATCCTCACTATTCAGTGATTATTGCATGTCTCCAATCCACTCACTTTCCTTCTCTTTTCAGTACCTATTCCAAACCTTCACAACTTTCTTCAAGTTCACCTACCATTCCCAATGTCTTTTCTTAACATCACTGTACTTCTATTTCACAGAAAAAAATAAAAAGATTATCAAAAGCATGTCTCCTGCCTGCAAATGTAATCTTTATCTCTATTCAAGTTACATTCCACCTTAGTAGAGGTCCAAGGCTAAGTCCTCTAAAATGCTATCAATCTCATACTCTCTAGATCCTCAGTATGGTCTATAGACAGCAACACTGGCATCATCTGGAAGCTTGTCAGAAATGTTATATCTCTGGCCTCAACATAGACCCTTTGACACAGAACCTGCATTTAATAAGACGCTCATTAAAGTTTCAGATGCACTATGCTGAGCATTTCTGTTGCAATAGTCCATTTGCTATTTCATCTCAAGGCATAAATTAATTCGTCTTTAAGCTTTTTAAAAACAGACCAGAAGAAAACAAACAAACATGCAAATGATGGTACCTTGATATTGTATTTTTACCTCTTCCAATTGCAGCCAAATTCTGGCTCTTACCCTCACTGTAATTACTGAGGTGACCAATGATCTACCTTTCCTTTATTTTGGGCAGTGGGAGAAAGGAGGGAAGAAAAATATCAATATCTGTGATGACAATGTTGATCACACCCTTAAAAAATACTTCCTAACTACTTCCACTACTTTTTTTCCTGATTCTTTTCTTACTTCTAGGATTCTCAGTGCTCTTTAAGGTTATCTTCTTCACTATACTCATTCTCCCACAATAATTTAATTTATGCTTATGTATAGCTTTAATTATCACTTAACTATTGATTACCCCACCAAGTCATCCTCCCCCTTCCAACTATCCTATATGCACCTTCAACACAATACAGTTAAAACTATTGTTTCCTCTCCAAACCCACCCTCCTTTCTCCTTAAATGTATCTTATTCTTAGGCAATGGCATTCACTGAAATAGAAATCCAGAAGTCATTCTATATTCCTTTCCTCCCTTCTTCCATATCCATTGATAGCCAAGACCTGCTAATTCTATATATAAGCATCTCTCCAGTTTTCCAGGCTCTTTATCCCCATAGTTACCATTTCACATTAGGGCTTACATCATCTCTCACTTGGCCCAATTAGTATAGAGACCAAAACCATAAAACATCATTTCCAAAATATCCTTTTTGCCAGGTTCCCTACCTCTAGTCTCTATCTTTTCCAATTTACTCTCCATACTGCCATCTGCATCTTTCAGTTACCCCTCTACAAAACTCTTCACAGCCTTGCACTGCATACAAAGGCCTTGCCAAGCCATCCCAAAACACATAAAGAGAAATATTTCTCTGACATTCCTCTCTTCACCTCTTTTATCTGCTAAGCAAAGAGATACTTCATTTCAAAGCATCAGATATACAAGACCTCTATATAAAGTTTTCCCTTATGAAGTCAGGCAGCTGAAGATGTTCCTTGTCCTGTGATTACCAGCTTTTGATCATATCTCATTAGAATAATTAGATCATCTATCTTCCCTAACTAAACTGAGATTACTGTGTCTTCATAGTCCTACCTAGCACAAACATAGCAATAGCAGGTGCTTAATAAATATTTGCAGAATTAAATATACAGCTGATAGTATTCTTACTGAATTAATTCACCTTCCTTAGCCTGAAACCCT